TTTATTTATTTGTTTGTTTGTTTGTTTGTTTGTTTGTTTGTTTGTTTGTTTGTTTGTTTATTTATTTATTTATTTATTTATTTATTTATTTATTTATTTATTTATTATGTCCTATTTTGCTACAGAATTTAATTTAAAGTGCAATACAGCGTGGACAATGAAGGGAATCATACTGCTCATGCTGGTTGCCATGGTAACGGCTGCTCCAAATCCAGTCTGGGAAGCGTGGAAGCAATTGCACGGTATATTTTATTATTATTTTTTTCATGGGGTGATGTGAATGTACGTTATGGTATTACCATTATTCGAAAACTTTCGTAACATACGGTGGCGCCATACAACAAGTTCATTGGGGTGCCATCATATGCTGGAATAACAAACGCCAACAGAAACTTTGAAAAGTAAAGACCTCAGTAAAGCCAAGAACCAAGGGTAGATACCTAGACATGGATATGCTACTATGATGGCATGCAGTGAAGATCTCGCTGACCAAAAATGTCGCATGATAATTATCAAGAACGAAAATAAACCAAATACGTATCGGGCAGTTCTTTCCTCTGGGAATTCGTGGAGTTTTTTTATTGTCGTGTTCTTAGATGACTGAATCACGTGTCCAAGTACCTCAAACTTTCCTGTTATCGTAGAACGAGCAAAATCGTGATATATTTGTGTTCAGAGCCTATACACGAGTAAGAGGGGGTTACAGGAAATAAAAACACCATTTTACGTTTTTTCAGAAAATAAAATGAAAGTTCTATTTCCAGTAAATAATAGGTTTTTACACTTTATAGATAAAGCAAATTCCTAATTACATCTTACATTTTTATAATATTTTTGATAATTTGTGTTTAAGAATCATATTGGAAATTGCGTACGAATTACGACATTTAATTTCGAAAATGCTTTATACGCTCACAAAAATAATATGTTTGTACAAATAACGGACGAATAAACAGCTGATTACATTTTACTCCTTGCCCATGTCTACGAATTTACGTGTTTCAGTTTATTTATTTAAATTACATTATTACAAAAATAAAAGCAATTGATTACAACTTACGAAAATACACCTTGCCGACCCTCGAGTAAGAACAACCATATAATGTATGCATGTGTATACGGTAAAGCAAACTGATCAAGCTGGAATAAAAATTTCCTGAAGGTAAAAATAGTACGTATCCCGTTAATTTACTAGATTCTGTCCCTATCGTTTCTCTAAAAGCATGAACAAATGAAAATAACAAAGAAAATTACCCAGATATATAGTATGCAGACATGGTGGTCAGGAAGGCGTTTGGACCATTTCGGCCCGGGTCACATATTTGATAGGCCAGCAAAAAGTGATTTATTTATTTACAGAGAAAAAATACTCGAACGAAGAAGAAACAGTCCGTCGATCGATATGGGAGAAAAATCTACAAACTGTTGAACTCCATAATATTGAACACGAAATGGGCAAACACACGTACACCATGGGAATGAACAAATACAGCGATTTGGTGAGTTTTAAAGAAGGACCTGATCGCATAGGTACTTCGGTATTCGGCTTCAAAACTGTTGAACTAAAATGGTGAAGTGGAATTTTAAAACAAGATTTTTTTTTCTGTATTTAGGAACATCACGAGTTCGTTGAAGTGATGTGCGGATTTCGTAATGCCAATAAAACCAGAAGTTCAATCACGTATCTGTCACTCTCTAATGTCCAAGTGCCGGATACAGTTGATTGGAGGGATCAGGGATACGTCACAGAGGTCAAAGATCAGGTAACATGAATCAGCGATGTTATTGACGACAGTCGCGTAACTGTGACATGAATCAAGATTGTTGTTTTTGTTTTGTTGTTGTTTTTAACTTAGTTTAAGGCACGAGGACAATCTGATTAAAATCCGATGTAGGTATGTGGCTCCAATTTTTTTTTTTTTTTTTTAATATTTTTTTTTGTTTATATATAACCCTTTATATTATATTTATTTGTATTTTAGTTTGAATATGTCGATTTTTTTGTTTTTTCTTGCCGTTAATCAGTTCTTAGAAAATTGTGTCCCACTCGCCTCTAACTACATCTGACTCAATGCCTATACAAATCTCGTACAAATCTCGCACCGGGACCAGCCAATCAGATCACGGGTTACAAACGCGCCTGAGCATGACTCAAAATATGGCGGCGTACTGCTACTACTTAGGGTTGGACCATTTGATTTTTGAGGGGAGGGGAGGGGAATCAGAAACGAAAAAAAAAAATTGGCAAAGTGAAGGAAGAAGAAACTAGGTCATATATA